TAGGGTTGGATCGGTCCTGCAAAGACCGGTTAAAGACCGATCTTTTTAACCGGTTAGGCAGTCCTCGGTCCCTGGTCTTTTAACCAATTCAGATCGGTTAAAAATAAACTTCATTAAAATAAACTTTAAACTATATCAATATATTTCAGTATTAAATAAAAATCTTAGCATTATTATATAAATATATATTTATGATTATAAATTTGGTAAACTATATCGATATATTACAAAAATCTCTACATTTTATTATATAAATCCGTATTTACAAGTTATTATATAAATATGTATTTACAACTATAGAATTATATGTTATTATATAAATCCGTATTTACAAGTTATTATATAAATATGTATTTACAACTATAGAATTATATGTTATTATATAAAGATGTATTTACAATTATAGAATTATATGTAATTATATAAAGATGTATTTACAATTATAAGTATATCAATATATTACATGCTAAGATAAAAATTTCTATGTGTTATTATATTAATATGTATTTACAATTATAGAATTACATAAATTTGCTATATTTTATTTATAAATATTTAAGCAAACATTGTATCAATTTTGTTTATCTAAAAATATACACAAGTTGCAATTTTATATTACATTTTATAGCTACAATGAATGTGAATGAACTTATAACAAATAATAATATCTTCACTAATACACCAAATAATCTGGATGAATCATCAAATGCATCTAATTCTGATTTTAGTTTACCAAGCTATCAAAGTAATGAATTATTAAGCTCACCTTCTATTAGACCAAATCGGACATATTCAACTAAATCAAAATCACGAAACAAAAAAGAGGTTTACAAATCACCTGTATGGAATTATTTTAAAACTGATACATTAGAATATCCTGATCAACCTGTTTGTGAGAAGTGCGGTGATGTATTTGCATCAACAAGTGGAACCTCAACATTGAGACGACATTTAGAATCTCATCAAATTATAGTACCAAAAAAAATACAAAAAAAAACAAGTTACTATAATATCCCTTATTCAATAAATGAGCAGCAAGAACGTGATGATGTTGTTATAGAGTGGATTATAAGTGATACACAACCTTTTAGCACAGTAGAGAATAAGGCATGGCGAAGAATGATTACAAAATTTGATCCTCGTTACCAATTTCATAATCGACATACAATAAAAAATTTTATTTTAACACTATATGATAAAAAAAAAGAACAGCTAAAATTAATAATAGACAACATCCCTAGTAAAGTATCATTTACCTCGGATATGTGGACTGCATCAAATGGCTCTGCATTCCTTAGTTTGACTATTCATTATATTGATAGTTCTTGGAGATTAAGAAATTTTTTACTTGATATTGTTCCAATGGCAGTTAGACACACAGGAGTTAATATGTGTAATGCAATAATGGATGTCCTTCATGAATTTAATTTAACTGAAAAAGCACTTGCCTTGACTACTGACAATGCCTCATCGATGATTGTATGTGGTGCAACTATAGCTGAAGAGCTTGACAGAGAATTTGACAATCTTAGCTTTTCCCATTATAGATGTGCCGCCCATATTTTGAATTTGGCTGTTTCAAAAGGCATTGAATTAGTTGACAAAACTATTACCAAAATACGTTCATTAATGTCATATATAAAGGGTTCACACCCTATAAATAATACTCTAAAGGAATTATGTAATATTAAGAATATTAATTACCTAAAACCTGAAATTGACATAAAGACACGGTGGAATTCAACATTCTACATGTTAGAAAAGTGGAAACGCCTAGAACCTGCTTTTTATTTGCTTGCTGCTGATAATCAACTTGTTCATCAGCGATATCCAAGTATAGATGATTGTCATAATATTGATGTAAGTATAAACATATTTAATTATTCTTTAAAATCCATTTTTTAAAGATAATAAAAAACAATATTAATTTTATCAAAGGATATCATGGTTCTTCTAAGACCAATTGAACGTGCAACACGGTTTCTTTCTGCTTCTACCTACCCAACCCATGGTGATGTTCGCTTTATTTTTCTAAGTATTCAAGAACATTTAATTAGACATAAGAACAATAGTACATTTTCACAAAAATTAATGGCAAATGCAATTTACCAAAAATTGGAACAATATTGGATAATTTTGGATGAAGCTTCACAAATTTCATCAATACTCGATCCAAGAATAAAACTATCAACAATTAAAGATGAAAATGAAAAAAATAGAGTAATTCATTTAATATCAAACTTAAATGAATACTCTATAGTATTAGAACCACCTATAGCATTTTGTACTAATGACTTAACAAATACACGCAATTATTTTCGCCAATTACAGAATGATACTATAACTTCCTTGTTTTCTAATACATTAACAACACCTGTGCAACAAGAAAGCAATAAAACATTAGAATCATCTTTAACAAATCATATCCGGGATGAATTAAAAAAATATTTAGCACTGCCCTTAGAAGATAACATCGATCCATTGTTGTGGTGGCAAATGCAACAGAAAGAATATCCAAGATTGTGTCTAATTGCTCGGGATTATTTGTCTATCCAAGCAACTAGTGTTGCTTCGGAACAGGCATTTTCAGTAGCTGGGCAAACGATTTCACCAACACGAGCTAGATTGGAGGAGGAAACTGCACGCACAATTTTATGCTTGCAAAGTTGGATTGATAAAGAAATTTGTTAATATATCGAACTTGTATATAGTAAATCAATTCATTAATGTACTAAAATTTGCGCAAGAAGCTATATATGCTCCAAGATTCAAAATGCAGTTTTCTTTGTTGCTTTTAGAAGCCAACATGCTAAGTAGCATAAAATTACATTGCTAAAGAAATTATTACCTGCATATGTAGAGAGAATGTGATTCGCAAATAGATTTTTTAAGAATTTATTGTAAATAGTTTGTTAGCGAAAGTATTATGTACTCGAAATTTTACATTGATAATGATATTGATAATTGATAATCGATAATCAACTAATCTACTCACGTGAAAATAGTTTATCTTGGGAC